AAGAGGTTAAAAAATGGGCTATGGAGTTTTCGCTTTAAGAGCACCTTTCAAAAAATGAATTAAGCTTATTAAATGAGGGATTACTGTATTTTGGCTAGAGAAATGGGTAATTTCTATAAGAGCCTTCAGGGAGAAGAGCATGAATACAGTGGCCTGTGTTATAAGAAACAGAGCTTTTCCTAGAGGACACAAAAATGTTACAAGGCCTTCCAGATTTTTCAATACAAACTTATAATTACATAATTTTTCACTTAACTGGTTTAATCATTTTCCAGGGCCAAATGCAGATAACAATTTGGAAGACCTAAAAAATTCTGTGGCAATAGGTCAAATACATAAATATTTCCCTTGAAAATAGATATAAACCCATTTTGTGTAATAGGAGGAGGTTTGGCTGTGAGTTTGATCCCCATTGTTACTAGCTCTTGTAAACTTGAAATTTCTGTAAAGAATTTAGGTCTATTTGGCAGAGACAGTAGGATATTTTTTATTTTGTATTAAAGAGTATTTTTTCAACTTTATATTGAGAAAAGCTCTTGATGTGTTTCAAGAAGCATGGATCACAATATTTAAAATTTAGGCATTCAGTTACCTTAAAATTTCTGTCTAATAAGCACAAATGGAGTATCCAGCACTTGCTAAACAGTTGTAATAATGTACCATGAATTGAGTTAGTTATGTATTGTAAACTTTACATAGTTTTAAAGAAGGATACCAGCATTCAAAATATTGAATAATTTAAATAATCTAGTTCATTTTTATTTATTTTAATCATTTAAAAGTATGCTGTTATGACCTTTTAAAAGCTGAAGAACTTTGTTATTAGTTTTGTTACACCTGAAGCTTGTTTTTTTTCTATTGACCACATTGAAAATGAACTTTTTATTGTCAACCATTTGATAGTTAAGCATAAATGCTAGGATCAAGTTTATTAAATGGGATACTGGACAGTAGTTCAGTGGTATATTAATCAGCAAAATACACAGTATTAATTCTTCTCAATGCATTTAGACAGCTTCCACCAAATGTTCCCTTTATTGTATCTATCCTTGACTATGCGTGCAAGCCACTTCTCAGTGAATGCCTGTCTTGTCCCTATCTGCTCTCTGCACGGAGCTGCCGTCACCACAGCAGAAGGTATTGGGAGCACCAAGACCAAGCTGCACCCAGTGCAGGTACAGTATGACACTCACCCCATCGGTTGAACCTCTTGTTCGGTAACCTGCATGCTCTAGTAAAGGAAATGTGACTTTGAAACTTTCTCATTGCCAGACTAAATACTGATCTCTTAAAACCAATCACAAAACACAATAGGGCCTTGAGAACTTTGCTCCCCTTTAGCGTCTTTCTAGTGCCTTTCAGTCTGATAAAGTTTATTCTGATATACTGTATATTCACACCCAGGAAGCAGCTTGGCCTTTGTTCGGTTCTTGTTCTGTGTCCAAGAAACCAAATGAAAGAGGGTCATAGATGGTGATGTTCTTGGTTGGGGTAGGCTTATTTTCAAGTAGGAACAGGTAAAGGTTCATTCCATGCTGAAATGTAAAGAGACACAAGGTTTCAGCTGTGGAGCCCTCTTCAGCTGTGTTTTGTTCTGCTTACTGCTTTAAGTTTAAAGTTATATCTCTACCATTGTTCTGGATTGGGGTCTGTCTCTACAGGAGCGGATTGCGAAGGCCCACGGCTCTCAGTGTGGGTTCTGTACCCCCGGCATGGTGATGTCAATGTACACCCTGCTGAGGAACATTCCAGAACCCACCATGGAGGACATTCGGGAGGCTCTGACTGGTAAAGCTGTTTCTCACAGCCGACAGGAAGGGATGGCAGGAACAAGGACAGATGTGCTGATAATAGCAATCATTCAAGACTCACCCACCCGGTTGCTTAGCTACCTTTTTAACCAGACGCACGCATAATGTCCCTTTGAATTGAGAGCTTGACAAATGCTTCAAAACATCAAAGGATGTTCTGTGGCACAGCAGAAGGAAAAAGCATGTAGTTAGCATAATTTAATAACAGTAAGGTAGACTGCAGTATAGCACTAAAAGAAAAAAAGATTTATAGTAAGATTTATAGTACACGTAAAGCAAGGAAAGGTCTTGTGATTTGTGATAATGTAACACATCCCAACCGCTGTTCCACTCCAGGAAATGACTCAAGTCTTGTACAGGTCTATTTCTTGATTCTTCTCACTGCAATTATTGTTGGTGGTAGGCACTGTAGGTGGGGTGTAGGTGTTATTGTCTCACCACAATTGCAGGGATATGGAACAAAATCCCTGAATTTCCTCAGAAACTCTAATCACAATCATTGACATGTGAAGACAATCTGAGATAAGGAGCCAAACCATTTTTATGACTTTTAATGACACTACATTTTAGATAATATAGACAAAATATAGACTGATTAAATAAATATGTGGGCAATAATAAGTATCCAGTGCATTACAGGTATACTATAGTGCTGGTTTATGTGTTCATATTTTGAACTGAATGATTGATTAATTAATGTTCTCCTTTTTGAGAGTTGTATCTTATCATGGATCACTGAAAAATACTGCATATTTCTTTTGTTGAATTCGGGGAACGTTTAAGAGAAATTACTGTTTACATTTGACTTCAAAGCCATTCCCAAAATGTAGCTCTTTTGTAAATCATATGCCAGAATAATTTTATATAGTGGTTTTAAAAGCAATCTTCTCAAATAATCCTGGACTGCAATCCATTTAAATTGTATGATTTATCATTGTAATGTGTGAGCCTTGTCTTGTGAGCCTGGATCTGGAATTTTAATAGGTTTTGAATCTTGCTTTGGTAATTGTTTCATGTGATACTATTGTATTTGTGTCCACTTGTTGTCAATTAATTCATTGTTAGTCATTATTGTTACTTATGAACTAAAATCCTTACTCCTACTTCTATTATTAATAATATGATTTTTTCCCATTTTCACTCATAACTACATCTTTAAACCATCTGGTTCCAAATAGAAAAGTGTGACAAAATGGCTCATTGAGTGCACGGAATAGAATATTGGTGGTGTCTTTATGGTGGTCAGGAGGTTTCAAAGAGAGGTATCTTCTCCAGCTAAATGTGTTGTTTCATGTTTTCATATATCCTGACTACCAGAACTTTAGTGTAGTAGCAACTAGTGCATCTCTTTCACATCAGGCATCCTTATCGCACCAGCATAATTGAGTTTTCTAGCTTGTAACACCTGAAGAAGGCTCAACAACCAAAATGTTGGCACTAGGATCTTCCTCTTCTCTTTCTTTTAGGGAACCTCTGTCGGTGTACCGGATACAGGCCCATAATAGATGGATTTAAAACCTTCTGTGGTGTGAGTATTGCCTGAAATAATTGGTAACACAAAACTGACCAATTATTTGATGAAGATGGCCACTTTTTGTGTTGTAAGCATTGAGATAGTGGCAAAGCACTGAGTCTGTAAATCTTCTGCAGTCTGATAATAGTTTAATCAGAAGGCAGGAACATTTAAAAAAAAAAAACCTAATCAAATATAATAATCTAATGTAATTTAAAACTACATTGCTGGATATGGAGCCTGTATAAATCTCATTTTAATTTTCTTTATCTTCAGGCATCAGGATGCTGCCAGGATGAAGAAAGCACTACAGGCTGCTGTCTGGATCAGGGGCCAAACCTAAACCAGATGGACAGTGATGTAAGTCAGATAAGAACATAAGAGCATTCAGTAGAACACAAGAATGATAGTAAAGAGGGGCCTGCCATCTAGCTTTTTAAGTTGTTTAAGTCACTAATTGATCCATGGAACTCATCCAGCTGTTTTCTCAAAAACCTAGGGTACCATCTTCAATAACATTCTATTTGCCTTTTGTATTGCTTGCCCAAAGAAACTAGAAGATAAAAATTATGTCCACATGTAAAAAAAATCTTGTAAGTAGCTTCGTCATTGCTAAGTAATTGCCATATTATATTTGTAAGTTATGTTTTTGCTACCTACAGTACATGCAACTCCATATTCTTGTTTACATTAAATATAATTTGTCAGATGTTTGGCCCTTCTTGAATTTTTAGTTTTTTTTTTGCAATTTTAATAGTGTATGTCCTGTTAGTGCATTAAAAAGAGTGAGAAAGTTCAATTTAGACTCAAACAGAGAAGTCATTATGCACAGACTCTGACTTACAGGTAGGTCAGATATTGGAGCTGACACTTTGAAGATTCAGTGATTTTCTGTTGTGTCTATGAAAGTCAAACGGTATTATTTCTTCGATGAGGTGAAATTCCAATTGAGAGCTCGGCAAAAAATGTCTCTTGTTACAGAGCAAGTCTTGAGCAGAATGCTGTTTACTTCGGTTGCCCTACTTGCCAGTTACTTCCTGCTAACTTTGTTCCAGGTGGAGCTCAGACAGCAGTTGTTGCAGTCATGTGATTAGTTACTTGTCAGGTTGCCATGGTTGGTGACAACTGGTTGTCCAGCACCTGTTACATCTGCATGGGTGGTGATTAGTCGTGATGTCATCAGGTGTAGCGCCTCCCACAGATATTTTTAGCCCTGTCAGTGACTTTATGAGAGGTGAACTTCTGCCAGAGTTTGAGCGCAGATGTTTCTCACTCTTGGGGTTGTAGATTGAAGCATAGATACAGGGAGTTCATGAATGGAGGAGTCATAATGGACCCAATTTATGTTGCTGCCTCACAGCACTGGAGCCCTGGGTTCGACTGTGAACCTGGGATGCTATCTATGTGGAGTTTGTATGTTCTCCTAGTGATCACGTGGAGTTCCTCCGGGTGCTCCAGTGTCCTCCCATGGTCCAAAGACATACTGGTCGGTTCCTTTGGCTTCTGGGAAACTTGGCAATGGTGTGACTGCGTATGTGTGTCTGTGTGTGTGTCCTGCAATGGACAGGCATCCTGTCCAGGGGTGTAACCTGCCTTGTGCCCATCACTTGGTAGGGATGGACTCTGGCTACCTCACAACTTGAACTGGAAGAAGTGGTTATAAAACAGATGACATTTTAGAAACCCTAACACTTAAAGTGAATGTTTTTGACAGGTGTCCAATGAATTATTCAGAATGAATGATGTCTTACCTCTGGACCCTACCCAGGACCTCATCTTTCCTCCTGAGCTGATGGTAAACTGAATAACTCGCACTGTCCCCATGTTCCAAGAGTGGCATTATTATTTTTTGACAAACTGTCTGTCAAACATAACATGCATAAAGGTAGAGACATTTCAAACCTAATGTACACACAAGGTCACAAACATACCCATCCTGTTAGGTTAGAATTGTAACAGTTAGAATGTTTACAGAACAAGAACCACCCACTTTCTCTCGGGAAGACCCAGAAGACTTTATTTATTCGTTGTTGTTCGGCAACAGTTCTGTTGCTATGTCTTTATCCTCGTTGAACCATCAAAAGTACAACATTTGTTTAATGTTGAGTGACTGAACACGTCACATCTTGCATGACAATGAAGTATTAAAAGAAATACATCTTATACACCAGAGAAACCAATTTAAATAACAAAAACGTACAAATCAGAGGAGGCCATTTTCTAATCTGTTAGGTTTTCAGCTGTCAGATAATTGATATTAGAAGCTTATCCAGATGTTTATTGTAAGAAGCCAGGGAATCAGCTCCAATTATCTAGCTGACCGATTTTTTCCAGACTTCTACATCCCTTTTTGTTGAACAATGCCTCCTTTTATTAGTTCTAAAAACACATCAGAAGTACTTCATGTTTTACTGTTGATCCTGAAAGAGGTCATTTGGGTTGCCTTGGAGATTAGAGGACTTGATTGCCAATATCTTTAAGGATTTTGAGTGCTCAAATCAGGTCATCTTGTAACTTTAACATAGTAAAATTCTTGACTTTATATCTGCCATGATATAAAGTCATGGAAATGTGCCATTTTCTTCACAAGACCTCTTAATTTGATAGTTTTGGGGTCCCCAAAGGCATAAGACTTTGTTTTTGATGAGAAATATAGCGTCAATGACAGAAGAGGAACACAGAATTCAAATCTACAAGATTTTCAACAGTAATAAGTGCTTAAAAAGAAATGTATAAAAGAAAAAGAAAGCATACTTATACCAAACCACTATTTCCATCTTAATACAAATATGCTTTACAATGTCACTATAGAATACTGTAACGCATACGGCCTCCATTGCTTGTGAGAGCCGGCTTACCAGCACGGTGACGCCACCGCCCTTCCCTGTGAATAGCAAGGACTGCAGCCGCCGGGCTGAAGGGAGATTTCCCTTTAGCGCAACTGGCTGGGTCCCTGTTGAGTGATGCCAGAGGCCTGGGTTTGAGTCCCCAAGGGTGGGGGAATGACCTGAGGCAGCAGTGGCGAGGGTGCCCATGTGAACCCCGAAGCATTACAATACATTTCACTATAGTTGCATTGGAGCAATTTCAATAATAACAATTGCTTCTATGGATGAATAACAGAACAACCCAAATCTGAAAGGGAGACATGCTTACTCAGTGGTGGCTCTGTGGCTAAGGATCTGTGCCTGTGACTGGAGGGTTGCCGGTTCAAATCCTATGGCCAGCAGAGGAATCCTGCTCTGTTGGGCCCCTGAGCAAGGCCCTTAACCCTAACTGCTCCAGGGGTGCCATACAATGGCAGACCCTGCTCCTGACCCCAAGCTTCTCTCCCTGTCTGTGTCTCCATGGAGAAAAAGCTGGGGTATGTGAAAAGATGAATTCCTAATACAAGAAATTGTATAGGGCTAATAAAGAAACGTTATCATTATCACATAAAAGAACTTTGCAGACTGTGGAGTGAACATAGAGCAATCTTAACCAAATGGGTTGAGGCCTGCCTTTTTCTCAAGGTGTCTCAATATTACAGAACTGAAGAAGCTTTTCTGAGTGAAAAAAAAAACAGATAAAAATGACATGCTTGCTCTCTGCCAGATATGTAAAAGACATTTTACATGCAGTTATATCACAATGATTATCTTTCTTACATCTTACTTCCAGTTCCTAGTAGCTGTCTGAAGTGTATTGTCATGTATGTTAACAGATATGCCTTTGCAGTAGTTTTCTTTCTTGTGAAGAGATTTAGGTCAGAGGTTAGTGCTGGAACAATGGAATGAGTGGTTCATGGAGACAGAAATCACACATATACTTCTTTCTATCCAACAGCTAATGGCCAAAAAACAAGGTGCCCAGCCACTGTGTTTCCAAGGTAACAGAATTCGATGGATTTCCCCAGTGGATCTTGCAGACCTTCTAGAGCTTAAATCCTTGTATCCTGATGCTCCTCTAGTGATTGGAAACACAACTGTTGGTGGGTGTAAAATGATTTTTACTCTGTTGTGTCTTCTGTTTATCTTTTACATATAGATAGAGCTAACGAACCAACCATGCTCTTTACAAAAACTACTGACAGCTAATGTATCTCCGGTCTATTCAAAATAGAGCTCCAGCTGAATGCACAGTCATTCAGTTACAGTATATAACCATCTCTGGAGTGGACAAAAACTGGGTTTGAACAGCATATTGAGTGATTGAGTGATTAGTTAACCATCATTAAGATGGGGGACCTTTTTATAAGCTGATTTAGGATCAACCATTGTACCTGTGCTCCAGTAGCTGTCCCTTCACACAGGGAGGTTTGGTGCCAACCCATCGTTTTATATTTTCAGCAATGATAGTTCACAAGGGTGGCATGGTGGCACAGTGGTTAACATTGCTACCTTGGAGGGCTGGGCCCCTGGGTATAAATTGGGTTCAGTTGTACATTCTCCCTGTGTTCAAATGGGTTTCTTTCAGGTGACCTTTCAACGACCCTGAATTAGATGAAGCAGATCCAAATTGAATGGATAATTCACCAATATAATTCATGTACAATGGCCTGGTAGTAATATCATTCTAGTTATTTTATAACATATCAGCTAAAATGATGGCAGAGGTATGCACAGTGAAGATCTTGAACTGAAAGATTAGTGTGTCACATACTGTAGTTGCCATTTTAGTTTGTCTCCCAGCCGTTGGTGCAATAGTTGTATTTGCGTTGGAGCCATTGCACCAGCAAAGTCTGAACTGTATTTTCACTGGGGTCTGTGGCAGTATTGACCGTAGCACAGATATAGAGCTGGAGCTAACCATGTCCTACAACTCAAGACTGGTTGCCCTGGATGGGAGACCTCCTGGGAAAGACTAAGATTTCTGCTGGAAGAGGTGTTAGTGGGACCAGTAGAAGGTGCTCACTCTGCAGTCTGTGTGAGTCCTGATGCCCCAGTATAGTGACGGGGACACCCTACTGGAAAACTCTACTGGTGTTGAAGTCCGAAGTTCTGGCTTTCTGTGGTCATTAATCAATCATGGTCTTCAGTCGCATCACCCAGGTGGGGCTGCACATTGGTGGTGGAGGGGAGTCCCCATTACCTGTAAAGTAAAGTTAAGTGGAGTGTGGCTATATTCTTGTCTCTGTATAAATTAGCCACTGCTGCTATGTCCAGAAACTTTCCCAGATTCATTTTAAGTTTTTAATCTCAAAGAATATTTACTGTTGACAGCATACTCTGTCACCATTATAAGTTTATTGTTTTGGAATCCGAGGTCCTTACTTATCTTGTGCTGCTTACTGCTCTAGCACAAAAATAATTTTAATCTTCAATTCGTATAAATCACAGTCACTCCTTTCCCAACTTTTGAAATCTTTATTAAGTTGAAGTTTCATGGTGGTCAAGCTATTTGGTTTGTTTTGCGGAATTTTTATATCTTCTTTATATTACAAGAATGCCTTGTGTTTGTGAGAGAAATGCATTAAATCTTTCATATGGAATATATATAGAATGTTTTCATTGGTTTATAAACTCAGTAGTCTTTGCACATTGCTGTCATTATCATTATAACAATAAACCCCCTATCACTAAAACATTACAAATGTTTGTAGACTATAAAAAGCTACATGTTTGAAACAAAAACAACCACAGACATATTTTATCTGAGTCAGTAAGGTGATGTTGAATGTTCAAACATTATAGGGTGCGTTTTTTAAAATTACTGTACAGTACTAATAGTGCATTTTATTTGTGAACTTTGTACTACACTGTCTTACAAAAGTAACCAGACTCTGGCACAGTTAATTTTCACATTTTGTTGCTTTTAAGCTTGCAGTCATGACACTGATGGTAAAAATTCATGTTTATAATATACACAAGCTACTCCAAACATTCAAAACAAAAACTAAAAATAAAGAAGTAAAAAAATAATTTATATTAAAAGTAACATGAAAAAGTCTTGACTGCACAAGTACTCAAACCATTTGCTGTTGCAAATCTGAATTTAGTTTTTGCTCACAAAATTACCTTAAGAACCCACACAATCATTTTAGAGGCCTCTGAATGTGTGCCATAATAATAATTTTCAGGATTTCAGAATTTTTCTTTGTGAGTCTTAGTCAGGTAGTGAATTTCCAGCAAGCACTTAACCATGTGAGATAAGGAAGTTTCAAAGCAAGGTAAAGATAAAAACGTTGAAAGTATCAAAGTCTCTGAATATCTCTGAGAACACAGTCTACTCAATCATTAAGAAATGGAAAATGCATCACACCACCCAGACTGCCTAAATTAGGCTGTCCTGATAAACTGAGCAACTGGAAAAGATGGAAACTGGTTAGCAATGCCATAACGAGGCCAATTTCGACTTTGAAAGAACTACACAAAGTTCAATGGCTGAGACAGGAGAAAATGTCCATTAGTCAACAATATCACATGCACTCCATAAAGCTGGGCTGTATGGCAGAGGGTCAAACCCATTTCAAATACTGCATGGAGTGTACAAAACACCTGGCCAATGCCAGCCCTACTGTCAAGTGGTAACAATGTTAAAGTGATAATAATAATTGCTTACACTTATATAGCACTTTTCTGGACACTCCACTCAAAGCACATTACAGGTAATGGGGACTCCCCTCCACCATCACCAACGTGCAGCATCCACCTGGATGATATGACGGCAGCTGTAGTGCACCAGAAGATGCACCACACACCAGCTATCAGTGGGGAGGAGAGCAGAGTAATGAAGCCACTTCATAGATGGGGATTATTAGGAGGCCATAATTGGTAATGATCAATGGGAAATTTGGCCAGGACACCAGGGTAACACCCCTACTCTTTCCAAGAAACGCCCTGGGGACCACAGAGAGTCAGGACCTGGGTTTTACGTCTCATCTGAAGGACAGTGCCTGTTTACAGTATAGTGTCCCCGCCACTATACTGGGGCATTAGGACCCACATGGACCGCAGGGTGAGCACCCCCTGCTGGCTCCACTAACACCTCTTCCAGCAGCAACCTTAGTTTTTCCCAGGATGTCTCCAATCCAGGTACTGACCAGGCTCACACCTACTTAGTTTCAGTGGGTTGCCAGTAGTGAGTTGCAGAGTGATATGGCTGCTTTTCATCAGCACGGATCTCATGATTGAGGGGAATATAGATGGAGCAAAATGCAGGCAAGTTTTAGAAGAAATCCTGCCTCAGTCTCCTGAAGACATAAAACACAATTGAAAGTTAACCTTTCACCATGACTATGACTTAATGTGCAAGGACATAAGGTAGCTGAACTGGAGGGGCTTACGAATAAAAAAGTGAATATCTTTTAATTCCATCAGCAACCCATGGAAAAACCTGAAAACTGTTGACTATAAGCAGTTTTCAATCAATTTGAGAGAGCCTGAAGAAATTTGCAAAGAACCGGCAAATATTGCACCAAGATGGTGTGCAGAGTTGACAAAATGTTGACAAAAAGAGCAGAGGCTTTAACTGCTGCAGAAGGTGCTACCATCCAATTTTCATGTATCTGAATCAATTTGCGATCAATGTATTTAAGTTTTTTCTCTTCAGCTGACATTAACTGTAACTTACCCTTAGACATCCTCAGTTTGAGCAGGACTTTAATAAAATATTAAGCTTAAAAATGTGCATGCATCAATTTGTAATATCATGAAGCAGGACACTATAGAGGCTGAATACTTTTGCAAAGCACCATATTTTGCCCTGTTTATTTCTAAGACTGCTATTATTTCTAAAAGACCATTTATTTCTAGAGGATTGATAAAAATGCACTGAAAGGACACACATGGGACATCTGGATTTTGTGAAAAGCCTGTATGTTTTATTTTCAACAGGGTTGAATGTGAAACTGAAAGGGGTTTTTCACCCTTTGATAATTGCTCCAGGCAGGATTGCAGAGCTCAATATGATAAAGGAGGGAAAATATGGTAAGTTCAAAACTGTTTTCTAAGACACAAAGGAGCTTGAACCTCAAAAGGAAAGTTCCAACTGATAATTTAAAAAAATACATTTTTATACTACGAGGCACAAGAAACTAAGAGGCAAGCAATAGTATTTTTGCTTTTCCCAAGAGTGGCTATGAGACCTTTAAACAAATATACTTATAGAAGGAGCACAATTTATAATGTAATATGCCCTTTCTATTGTACTTTATGCAATAATGGAAGAAATTCAAGAAGTACAGTAATGTATACCTGTAATGTTTTTTAAATTGGTTCCTCGACATTTGCTTGAGTCTTTACTGTTTCTTTCTGCATGAAAATCTCCCAAATTGCTTTATCGTAGGAAAATAAAATTCCTATTTCCTAGCAGTTTAATCCATTTTAGATTTTATGACCTGCAGCCAAATGCTGGATATCACAAGCTTAACATCTGGGTTATTGTGGATTGGGAACAATACAATATGATAATCTTACTACTCCCCTTGTGTTGCCCTGCAGTACAGTATGTACACAAAAAAGGGTGCAGGATATGTCAGCTATATTCAATAGTGTAACTCATGGTGTGTTTTTTAAAGGGCTAACATTCGGAGCTGCGTGCAGTCTCTCTGCCATGAAAGATGAGCTAAAGAGAGCGGTATCTGAATTGGCAGAAGAGAAGACGAAGGTCTTTCAGGCTCTATTACAGACACTCAGTTGTCTGGCTGGGAAACAGATACGCAATATGGCAGTAAGTTTCTCTGCAGTGTTCCCGTTCTTGACTCTAATATTCTAAAATTAGCCATTGCCTTCAAAGTAGCTGTTTTTAGCAGCAGTCATTATTGAGAAATGTGGATTGAATCCAAAATTGAATAGTGTTACTTTTAAACTGGGCTCTTGATTTCAGTCTGGACACAGGCTCACAAAAGGCCTTAATAAAACTTCAGGCCCCATCGTCTCTTAGCTTAATTAATCATTTGCATATATTTTCTTTGGATGTTTGAACACTTACATGTACATTATTATTACCTGCAATGGTCCCTCTTCACATTTTTTTTAAACATTGCCTATAATTGTTGTGGATCCATGTTGGCCACTGGTACAGTTGTCCTTCCAGTTTACTTTATCGTCTCCCCATATAATGCACCAGTTTAAGTATCTAGATTTTTTTAAGCCAGTCAGTGGGAATGACAAAGTAAATTAAGTAGCAACTAGAAACATTTGGCAAGCAGAGTCAGAGAGAAAATGTTAACAGTGACACATATTGATCGACATCAATTCATGTTTTGTTTCTTCAGATGGTCTTGGATTACATAATAACTGCCAGTGCTGATTTACTAGTGCCAGATACTAAGGTTTTTCTTAAGTAACGTACTGTTTTTATCATTTGGTTTTGGTGTTTGAAGTTTACATGAAAATATCTGTTGGTCATTCAGGATTTCCTTATTTTAGTATTCAAATAATTGGTATTCAATATTTCAGTATTCCACAACAAACTGAACAGGTGAAGTAAATTTATATCAGTGCAGTATTGGTTCTATGGTTCCACAAGCAGACGTCCTCAAAATAAGGGCAACGAGTATAAAATATCCCTGAAACAACTACTGTAGAGGTAAAGAGTTCTGTTCACCTTTGCTTTTTTATTTGTTAGAAAAGTTCTATTTTTAGTTTTATTAAATTGCAAGGAAACGTCTAAGATCCTAAGATGTTTTTTGTTGTGGTTTATTATACAAATTATTTTCTTTCTCCTTTAAACCGAGGGGGGTAAATCGTTTGTTACAATAGAGTTGCACTGTTGACAAAAACACAGTATTCATGAAGCAATCAGTCCCACAATTCTCTGAGAAATAAGATATATTTAGATCCAAAGCATCATCATTAAATCTCAATATTTACAATTCTGGCATCCCAGACATGTTCTGTTTGGACTAAATATCAGTCTATGTTTTCTAGGTTTCAAATTCCAGGTGCAAATCTTCTGTTTGTACTAAATATTGGTCTATGTTCTCTAGGTGTCAACTTCCAGGTGCAAAACTATAATTATTTGTGATGTTATTTAATAAAGAGCAAGAGTATGGTAGGACTCTTGATAGGAAGTGAATTACTGCTGTGTTTATTCTCCACCATAAACACTTTGCAGTAAAAGTAATACACAAACCTCTTAAAATGTTCATCCACTTCCTAGTCATGGACTAAAAACCCTGTGCTGGTATACTGTATGTTAAGAAAGTGAGGTCATGCTTGTTAAAGCTTCTTCAAAATACCATAAAATAAAACAGATGTCTCCACTTGAAAACCAACTCTCATTATCCACATGTTGTTGTGAAATATTCATTGGTTACAATTTGGCCTCATGAAATAATGATAATGCTGTTAGTCTCATAGGTTCTTGATAGCTTTAAACCGTATTCTGTTGCTCATTATCAGACCCTTGGGGGAAATATTCTGAGTGCCATCCCAAAGTACGACCTCAACAGTATCCTGGCAGCTGCAGACTGTACACTCCTGGTTGTATCCAAAGGTAAGTTTCTGTCTGAGTTTAATCCAACTAACTATATATAATATATAAAGGTAATTATAGGTAATTTACTGAAGTTCTCTCTGTTTATTTTTTTCTGCACTTGTTTACAGTCATTTAAGGGTCTGAAGTACAATAGAGCAACTAATAAAATCTGAAGGCTCGTTCATTGTTGAAGCAAATTGTGTAATGGGACAAGGAGGTTTGGAGCTGTGATCATAACATTTGCTCTGCACACATGAAACAGTATTATTCACTAATTCGTTAAATGTATAACATATTGGTTCTAAAATTCCTGAGAACTCTTTACCCATGTTAGAAGTTGTTGGTTAGGATGTCGTAATACATTGATTGGTTTATGAAGAGGGTGGAAGGTGGCGCAGCAGTTAACATTGCTGCCTCACCACTCTTGGGCCCTGCGTTCAATTCTTGGGGTGCTGTCTGCGTGGAGTTGATGTGTTCTCCCCAGGTTTATGTGAGTGTCCTCCGGTAGGCTAATTGGCTTCTGTAAAGTTGGCCCTTGTCTGAGTGTGCGCGTGTTTGCATCTGTGTGTTCCCTGTGATGGACAGGCACTGGTTGCTGGGATGGGCTCCGACTCCCCTGCAACCCTCTATTGGATCAGCAGTTTAGAAAATTGATAAATGCAATTCAATAAGCAAGGGCAGCACTTATGTTTGCAGCGTTAGATCGAACCATTTACAAATAATTGGATTAAATGCCATTTGTATTTCTGTGTTCTGTGCTTAACACATATTTTTTACAGAAGAGAAAAACAAAAGGCGCCTTGGACAAACTGATGGACTTAACATGGAGTGATTCAGTTATAAATGCAAAATACGATTCAGTAAAGTTATCAATGCGGAATACTGAAAGTCAGTTTTGCATGTGGTGGATCTATGCTATTAGATACACATGGTTATTGTCATAATACTGAAATAGATCGCGAACCATAGTTCACAGTAGCAGTAGCTCTGCAGGAATGCAATAATCAAGGGGCAGACCACATGCCCTGTTTCCTAAACACATTTAAGATTTTTTAATGAGTCTTAAATAGAGCCAGATCTTGAGAGCATGGTAGCTTTGAGGGAGACGGTTTCCTCTGAGTAATCCATATTCATTAAGTAATATGAAGATAAGGAAGCAATGGGAGGAAGTCATTTGGCCAGTCTTGCTTATCAGTCAGCTAAGTGAAATTAAAATTTCATCCAACTGTTTTTTAAAAGTGCCCAGAGTATAGGCTTCAACTACCTGATTGCAAAGCCTGTTGTTTCCTATTTGTAGACCTGAATGAATTCCCCTTTAGCTCCCAACTGTGATCCTGGATCTTTGTTTCACTAATAATTGTGAAGTGTTACTCTGGATTAATGCTATATATATCCCCTTTGGCTCTCTCTGAATCAAATATCCTGTTAAACCTCTGTATTCTAGACTTAAGAGATTTATTTAATTTAACCTGTCGCTGTATGATAATCACCCGAGACTCACAGATTCTCAGTAACCATTCTAGTTGCTTTTCTCTGAACTCTAAAGATTACTGTATTTTCTCGTGGTCAGTGACCAGAGCTTCTCAACAATCTAAAGATCAATGTTTTCAGATCTAATTAGTCCATTGTAAAACTGAAGCATTACTGTCCTGGATTGACATTCCACACTTTTTGCATTCCGCATTCCATTTGCTTTTTTCATTCTTCCCCAGTTTGTGTTGATGATAACATAAAAAAAAATCTTCTCCCCAAAATGCATCCCTTTTGTGTGCAGTTTCCTGCCATTTCAAATCACCCATGTGACATGTATAATGCTACATGCTACATGACATGTATATTGCTACTTCCAGTGGGGATCACTTTGTTTTTACATGCCTGCTGAATCCATGGTTGTGTTTCTCTCTTTTTAATTCCCATGACTCTATTTTCATTTATCACTCCTACTCTTTTAATACCATCTGAAAACTTAACTAGTTTGATAGCTATGACAGAATCAGAATCATTGACATTGACCAGAAAGAGAAATGACCCCTGTACACCAGTTTACATCTGTCCAACTGGATGGTGTGCCCCTTAACATGGAGCTTCATTTCCTGCTTGTTTGAACCAGTTCTTGTGGATACCTTATCTTGGATTACTCTGGCTCTAAATCTTGGAATCTCTTCTGAGGCACCTTATCATCAAGTGAATTACATTTTAAATGTATGACATTGTGTGCTTTAGTTTTATCTATAAGCCTCACTGCTTGTTCAAAGAATTGTAGGAAGGTAATTAGAAATGACCTTCCCTTCCTTCATTCCTGCTGTGTGTCTCTTAAAATGTCATTGTTTTCCAAACGTTTTTGCTAATTTAGCTCTATCATTCCTTCCCAAAACCTTACATGTAACATATGTAAGAGCTACTGGTCTATAATTTCCTGGTTCAGTTCAATGTCCTACATTCTCCGATCTGGTCCTAATGTGAGCGAGCCTTAATCTGTTTCCTTGGGTATTGATGGGAAATTTGTGGCCGGTTGGTTAGCTGTTTTCTTAGCCACCTTAGCCCATGTAGGGCAGTCATATAAAAAATACCCAATGGTTATTCCATTATGTTATCTATTGAGCAATGGATAAATTTTACAGTGTCTTAATCTCTACACTCTTTGTTTAGAAGAAATGTCTCTTGCCCAGGATCAAAATCTTCCTGAAACAGAAATGTAGTGTTCTGAACATCTCAGTCAGATCTTCCCCAAAAGTTCCTTTGTTCTGGGCTCATTTGTTCGCAGCAGTCCTACATGATGCACCCTCTGACATCTAATCTATGGACTTGACTTTGTTTCGTCTAGGTGGGTCACGAGAGATTCGGCTAAATGAAGAATTCTTCACAGGATTTGGGAAAACTACCCTCAAGCCAGATGAAGTTCTTCTTACAGTCCATATACCTTACTCCAGAAAGGTACAGTATGACAACAAAGCCACTTATCCAGTTTCTAAATTGGTATCATTCAAAACTCCTTACTGGGATGAGAAAGAGAATGGATAGCTCAATGCAGTGACCAAGAATCACATTCCTGCAGATTGTAGAGGCATCAAACAATTACCAAGTACTTGGATCATGGAAGAAAATGTAAAATAGGATATATTTGAATAGTTCAGGTGGGTAGCTGCGTCAGCATGCGTAGGCTGCAAAGGAACAAGTAATAGGTTTATTCCATGCTGAAAAAAAGGAGAAAGAAAATACCTGAAGAAGGCTCCACGGCCGAAACGTTGTGTTTTCTTTCTTCTTTTTTTCAGCATGGAATAAACCTATTACTTGTATATTTGAAAAGTGCCTTAATAGAGCTAAGAATCCAACACAGAGGAATGAACCCATGTCTGTGTTTTGATGCAGTGGGAGTTTGTATCGGCATTCCGCCAGGCCCAGCGCCGGGAGTTTGCCTTTTCCATTGTGAACTCGGGAATGAGAGTGGTTTTCGAAGAGGGCACCAATGTTGTGAAATCACTGAATATCTTCTACGGAGGAGTGGGCCCTACCTTGATTAGGGCCAGCTACACATGCCAGGAGCTGGCTGGAAGGTAATTTAGGAAATATCTCAAAGCCTTTCCTGGTTATTTTTAACTTATCTTTCACATTTCTGATGAGCTCCTCATTTAGGTCTGCCTTAACTGAACTCTCTTTGCAATATGTATTTTGTTTCAATGCATTTTGTTCTATAGAATAGAGCCATTGTTGTAGTACACACGTACAAATAGCAGAGTTTTCCTAGGAAGATTAAATGCTGTTGGCTCTTCTTGGATGGCATCTGGGTTTCTAGTCTACTGAAAACAAATGTGATGAGTTGCTGAGCCATAAGGGGCTGTTCATGGGGCATTACACTATTAAGAGTGATCAGTGCGGTGGCTATATTGGGAAACATGGATGTGAGTTTACTTTGATTGTGACTTTTTGTGATTTGAGAGTTCATGCGCTTCATGCTCTGAAGGAGAAGGTGTTCATCTACTGTAGTGAAGCAGTGTGCCAGCCAACTGCTACTGACCGCTGTGTGCCCACCTGTGGCAGAAGGAGAAGAGCTATTCCTACAATCCCTGGGGATTGTACTTTGGGCTTCAAAGTATGGCATTACGTGGGGACGTGCCTAGTGTGGAGGCGGATCCCTAGTAGAAGGGCGCCTCGCAGTCACAGCTGTCCGGGCTTCTAGATGATGTGCCACAGCTGGGCAGGTCCTATAAAGGCACACTGGACACCGCCCGAAGGGAAAAGCAGTGACACCTCTGAAAGGGGGAAGTTTACACCGACAGTCCCAGAGGTGATCACACCCACCTAAGGTGTTCATTTTCTTTTTCTTTTTTCGCCTGTCCCGTTGTGCAGTACCACCGTGGCCAGGTTGTTCCTCTTTCACATCGCCTGTGTTACGCCACGCCCCTGGAGGACTGGGCGTTCCACCTCGCATTCCAGCACTGTTCCCAATTAGCCCATTTACCCCTGCCTATTGAATGCTGCTTCACAGTGTCCACTGTGCTCAGTATTAGGTTTTGTCCTTGCTAGAGCCACAGTACTCTGACTCTCGTTTAAGAATTACTTTTGGCTTCCTGACCCTGGTTTGTTCTCACTACAACTACGTCTCCTGGTTTTGGTTTTGGTACTTCAGTTCTCGTTCTGGTTTTGACTCTCGGCTTCCTCACGGCTTCCGGCTCCGCTTCTGGTTTTTGTACTTTTGCGCTGGCTTGTTTATCTTCGGCTTACGGACCTCTGATTGTTCTACTGGCTACGCCTTTGGAGATCACCCTGGTTTTCTGCATAGGGTCCTCACTACATTTCCTAACAACCTGTCCCACTGTGAAGTACCACCGGGGAAGGCTGTTTTTTTCCACAAGTTTTATTTTATTTTTGGCCTTACGCATCCTGCTCTGCCAGACTGGACCCCGTTAAAAAGGGTCAGTCCAGTCTGGTCACTGCTGTGCTAGCGGTTCTTTTTAGAGCCCGTTAAATAGGGTAAGCCCAGTCTGGAGGTCACGAGGCACAGCAGTACACTTTCTTTTTGCTTTATTTTTCACCTTTTTTGTATTATTTTTGGTCCCTGCTAACCTCATACTGGTGCTTCCGTCCCCTCACCCGGCTGCTTTGACTTTTTACCAGTGCTCCCACTCTGCACTGTCACAGCTGTATTACATGCAATTTGTTTTTTTAGTATTTAGATTTTTGCCTTTTTCGTGTGATTCCTGACTTTCCATTTTCTTGGGAATTCTTTGACTATTTTTAAATCTCATCTAAAAACTTTTTGTGCTTTGGCTTTTCGTCTCTGTGAGTGGTAGTGCTGTATTGCATGCGAATGCTTTCAAGTAATTAGGGTTTTGCGGTTTTATGTGATTCCTAACTTTCTATTTTTCTTTCACAATGACGATACTGTAGGGGGTCTATTATATGGTGAAAAGTTTGAGACTTTGATCATAGTAATACTTTCTTTTGTATGATGGGATTAATAAGATTTGCGCCCAGAAACTATACGCACCTAAAGTAACATTATTAATACACTCTGTTGTATAAAAATAAATTTTTATTGTTATTGCTAGACTCACAACTGGCAACCCACTGAAGCTCAGCAGGTGTGAGCCTGGTCAGTACCTGGATGGGAGACCTCCTGGGAAAAACTAAGGTTGCTGCTGGAAGAGGTGCTAGTGGGGCCAGCAGGGGGCACTCCCTCTGTGGTCCATGTGGGTCCTAATGACCCAGTAGAAGGGACGCTATACTGTAAACAGGCGCCGTCCTTCAAATGAGACGTTAAACCGAAGTCATGACTCTCTGTAACCCCACTGTCCTGGCCAAATTTCCCATTGGGAGGCCCTTACCAATCATGGCCTCCTAATAATCCTCATCTATGAATTGGCTTCATTACTCTGCTCTCCTACCCACTGATAGCTGGTGTGTGGTGAGCGTTCTGGCGCACTATGGCTGCTGTTGTATCATCTTGGTGGGGGCTGCACATTGGTGGTGGTGGAGGGGAGTCCCCATTACCTGTAAAGTGCTTTGAGTGGAGTGTCCAGAAAAGCGCTATATAAGCGTAAGCAAATATTATTATTATTATTTCTATTAGATTTGCAATTGTTTGTAAAAGAAAGAAGGAGAGAAACTTCTCAATGCATAAAAGCCTCAGGATCCAAGAGGTTGCTGTTTATCCATATTTTTTGTTTTACTTGCCCTTGATGCTTACCTTCCCATTTATGCTTTAATAAACAAAACTGTAAATATGGAGATGACGAATTAAAAACACAGACCTTACCTTTGGGGAAAGCACAGATGTCATGCAAGAAGAGCCAACAGCAATTGTTCTTTGTAAGAAAACTTTAAGTTGTGCACTACAACAATGACTTAATTCTATAGAACTGTCATTATTCTGTCCTAACATTCACTACGATAGCCTGGTTTGATATCCCGGATACACACACAATAAGAAGGATTGTGCAGGTTGCCAGCAAAATTCTTGGTGCACAACAATTACAGCTTTGAGACATCTATGAGCAAACAGCGCGGACAGCCAATATAATCATTGACTGTCATGATCACCCCTTACAAAGTGAATCTGAGGTCCTTCCATTGGGGTGTTAATTTAGACTGCCTGGATTCAAGAGCAATAGAACTTAGTCATCTTTTATTCCCACAGCTTTTAACCTGCTCAATTTGGACATTTGACTGTATCATCACTATATCTATAGATTTATTTTCTTTCTCATTATACATCTGTTGAATGTATTCTGTCATGATTTATGTCTTCTGTCTGCAAAGCGAGTTTCCCATGTGGGACAATAAAGTAAGGGCAGTAAGTTGTTCTATTTGTGAAAAGTTTTATGGCATTAGCCAAAAATGATTTGTTCCTTTTGTGACCTGGTCTGGTGAGACACACAGTGACACATTTGACACGGTGTCCCCTCTCTGCTCCCTGGCTGAGCCTGTGGTCTTGTCTGCTGGTAGGCTCTGGGATGAGAAGACTCTGCAGGAGGCCTGTCGTCTGCTCGGGGAGGAGATCTCTCTCTCTCCCTCTGCTCCTGGGGGCAGGGTGGAGTTCAAGAAGACCCTTACTCTCAGCTTCTTCTTCAAGTTCTATATGCAAGTCTTACAGAAGCTGAAGAATAGGGTAATTTGTTTCAATTGCGTTTCACTGGTAGGGTGAGGTCCTGCATTGTGCATCTTTACCGTATTAAAGGAAAAAGAAGATTTGATGTGAGCACCACAGGGTTAGATGTGCACCATTTATTACTTACTTTCTTGTACAACTCAATGTGCTTTATTTCCTAATAATGTACATACTGTACTGTAGAGGTAAATGTACTTTATTACTTTATTATTGTATCAATATCTCATAAATCAGGTGGTTGCATGCAAGCTTTCACAGCATCGCATTGCATTTAAATAATCCATCCATGCACCTTCTGTACCATCACAAAATGTACAGTACATACTGTATACAGTGCCTTGCAAAAGTGTTCAGAACCTTGCGTAGGTTTCACATTTTGTTGCTTTCAAGCTTGGGGTCATGACACTTTGAAACAGCAATTAATATCCATTATATACACACACACATGCAAAGCAAACTTTTAAAGCAGTAAGAGATTTACTGTTTTTAAAAATGAAAACTGGTGGCATTTTTTTCCAAGGAATTATGGGAGAGTGGAACATGCTACTGAGCCATCTTGTTAAAGCCAAGTCAGGCTTCTTTCAAGAAACTGCTGGATGGCATCCATGAATCTTTTACAGTAGTTACTAACTATCAAAGAGGTTAGATGACCCCAAAATGACCTTTTTTATGTTCTTAAAACATTACAGCTTGTGCAGACATTTAACAAATCAAATACAACCAAGTACATACAGTAGTGATACATGTAGGGTGATCAATCAGATGAATCACACAGGTGATCCTGAGCTACAGGAAGCTACACATTAGAGGGATGTACTGTAGGTGTTTATGTGGAATTTTCTATGTCCTCATAAAGACAGAATGCTTGTGCACATAAGTATGGAGTTTAAATCAAGGGAACATAAAATCAAACTTGAGACCTTGCTAAGAACTTAATTAGAATATTAATTCAATTTTTGTCATCATACCTCCTCATACTGTACCTCAAGAAGGTATTACAGCTTTAGGCTAAATCTAAACATCCAAATGAGAAAGGAAGCACAAATGGCCTCTCCTTGCTTACAGGCTTTCTTGTGTTTTAAAGTTCATGTTTTTTCTTACTATCTCTGTGCTTGATGCAGTAGAAAAGCTGATATCCAGCCATCAGCTTAGGATACACTTACATTCTGTGATAATTAATCAAATGGATGGATATTGGACCTTTTCTTTGTGTAAAAAATGTTAATTGTTCACCATGAGTTGAAAAATACATTATTTAAAGAGTTGTAGAAGTATGCTTATGTGGAATAAATATGTTCACTGGATTCCAGTTGCTTACTGTTTCGGGAATATAACTGTAGTATTCCCTCTCCAGGAAGTGTATATTCTGGAAGATGTTGCTGTCTAATTTATAAATAACAGTATGTAAATTCCTTCTTCTTGTTCTACAAGAACCCAATGCAATGTACTAGTTATTAAATCCACTTGGGTTTTTCTTCAGGATTTGTGTGTCGAAGATCTGCCTCCTGAATATCTTACCGCTCTCAAGTCTTTTAAGAATGAAGTGCCACAAGGACATCACTCATACCAGGTTTGTTTAAGAGAAGAATGTCTCAAAATATTTTCAGATGATAATTGTCACAAAAGGATACGATACAAAGAGTATGAAAATGAAGATGTAATACACCGTACACATGAATGAGAGCAGACCCTCTTCTTCATATGTTTTCTGATGTTGCACCAGGTAGTTAAAGCCACACAGCCTTTAGATGACCCCATTGGACGGCCCAGCATGCACCAGTCTTCCTTCAAACAGGCAACAGGGGAGGCAGTTTACTATGATGACATTCCCAGCATCACTGGGGAGCTCTTTCTCTTCATGGTGACGAGCACCAGACCTCATGCCAAGATAATGTAAGTGCTACCTTGTAAATCTCAAGATCCTAAACTTTCTATCTATTCTAATCTATTCATCCATTTCCTAACTGCTTTATCCAATACAAGGTAGCGGCACAGCTGAGGCCTATACTAGCGAGCAACAGGCACAGCGCGGGATACACCCTGGATGGGAAGCTATTCCATTGCAAGGCACACACAGCAAAAAACACACACACAACCAGAAGCCATTTAACCTACCAGCAATGCACGCTTTTGGACTGTTGTTAGAGAACGTAGTACCCAGCAAAAGCCCACATTAACATGGGGAGAATAGACAAACTCCGTGCAAATATTATATGCAGCTTAATCTTCATTTCCTAAAACTGTTGAGGCAATTGAAACTGTTACTTTCACTAGGGAAAGTAATCACATCAAGAGTGGAAGTGGGCACTGCAGCTATGCGCCTTGGTGTAGAAAGCTTTACGGTATATTTCTATGGTATAATTAGGATGGTGTGAATTAAGCATTAACGGAAATTACACTAGCGATCCTAGAATATATAAACCCACCACTCGTTTATCAGATCACAGCAAATATAAGACACTCAACCTAAAAAAGCTGTCATACACATAAAAGCAAGTTTGAGAAAGAGCAGGAAATGATTAATGTACGGACTATTATTTATGTTAAATAAAAGGGGTCATTTTAATTTCACGGAAGCTAATAAAAAAGGATAGGAGTAATTACTCCTTCTTGATGGAAACCACAATACAACACGTTTCATCTACATTTTGTATTTATCCTTTTGAGTTGCTTCACATCGTATTGCGTGTTTCCTGTGCGTGTGACCACTTCAGTTATTGTCAATCCAGCTAACTCTTCCCAAATTAACTGATATCTGAATAGATGTGTTTCATAGCAATCAAGAGTTGTCTATCAGGCTGTGATTCCGACTTCTCTCCACTACAGACTTCCAGCTAGAAACCATTTTTACTAGCACAGCTAAGAACGTTTGTAAAAGCAACTTAAGATTGAAACATTCAGGTGGTGAAAAATGCAATCATACCGAAACATAATTTGCAGTTCCATATTCTACTTATTTAGTAGCAGGGTGGTTAGAATTGATGCCTTGCAGGGCTGGTGTCCTGTGTTCAATTCCTGGGGTGTGATCTGCAAGGAGTATTCCCTTGTGTACGTGTGACTTTTCTCCAGGTGCTCTGGTTTCCTCCCACAGTCCAAAACATATTGGTAGTTGAGTTATTTTCTGGGAAAATTGGCTCTGCTGAGAATGTGCATGTGTCTGTGTCTATGAATGTGCCCTGTGATGGATTGGTGTCCCATCCAGGGTGCATTCCGCCTTGTACTCAATTGCTTGCCAGGATAGGCTCCGGCTCCCCCTCCATCCTGTATTGGATAAAGCAGTTAGAAAATGGATGGATGAATGGATATTCTACTTATTGATATTTGGTGGTGTTAATGGCAGAATTTTTTCTAACCATATATATGTACCCGACATTTATTGTACAACATTAAATTATGCATTGATAGTAACTAGGCAACTATTGAGCTGCTTTATTCACCCAGGGTGTTTGTGTGATTCTAAAGTGTGTTCCTATATTTCATTGGCCGGCGGTATCATGACTCAGATCCATTGATGCTTCAGAAGCGGTCAGTGTGCCAGGGGTGGTTACTTTCCTGTCAGCCAAAGATGTTCCAGGAGTCAACAGGAGGCTGTGGTTTAATGAAGTGGAGGAACTCTTTGCTGAGGAGGAGGTACTGCCTGCTCTACATACCAATGCACCGTGGGTTTAATGAGATCAAAGTTTCTCTTTGCTTGTCCAGGAGAGCCACAGACTGATGTGTTTAGTTTTTTGCCAAGTTTAATTTTGTAAACCATGATTGGCTCAAGTAGTTAGCCTAGGGCTTGGGACATGGGAGTGTGTGTTAAATCTGAATTGTTCAGTCATCTGGATGTGTTGGCTGTTGGATACTGTAAACTATCAACAGCTGGGCAGTGTTATAGTATTTCACAGTTGAAAGTCTTTAATGTGGCAGCAGTGGTCTTATGGTTATACAATCAAGTGACAATGCTGAATTAGGTTTGTTACTGTATGTCATCATGCATCCAATTACCAACATGAATTAGAATGAAAGTTGCAGTCCTGTATTGTGCACCACCGAACCATCACATAGACCACTGAGGATCAGTCAGCTTATTTGCACTT